AGCAAGTGGAGTCGAGTGAACTGGGGAGAAAGTTTGGGAATACTTCTTTCCAGCAATTCTTAGGGACTAAGCAGAGCTCATTGTTTATTTTTTTCCAAGCTGCTTAGTCTTCATTTGTAAAATAGGCATGCTCAATTCCCAGCTCATGGGGCGGCTGTAAAGATAAGAGGAGATTGTGTATATGAAAGAATACAGTATGGTGCCTGCTCCAGTCTGGATCTTAGGCGTCCCCCAGGCCCCCGTGTGGAGGCTTGATCCCCAGCCTGGGAGGCGCTTGGGAGGCGGGGCTGGGAGAAGTTAGGTTGCTGAGGGTGACCCTGGGGGGGGCTGGGGGGGCCCTGGCCCCTTGTCCTCTCTCCGTGCTTCCCAGCCACCATGAGGTGAGTGAGGCTCTTCACCAAGTGTTCCCGCCTGAGGAACTGGGCCTCCAAAGGCCCAAGCAATGAGGCCAATCAACCACGAACTGAAATCTCTGAAACCGTGAGCCAAAAATAACTTCCCTTTTCTACCATAACTTGTGGGTATTGGGTATTTTGTCTCAGCAATGAGAAAAGTAACTAAGACGGTTTCCAACACATATAATTTGGTAGACACATTCAAACCATAGCAGATGGATGGATGGATGGGTTTATTACAAGTGCAACCTCCAGGGAGCAGGCAGGCAGGAGGGAAAACTGGAATCCCGTGGCAAGGGCGGAAGCTTGATGAATAGGCAGCAGCCAGGAAAAAGATCTCAGAGCAAAGCGATGGCTGACCCAGGAATGACTGGAGTATCCTTTCAGGAAAGGCAGCTTTTAAGGAAATTGAGTCAGACTCCCTCCACTAGAATTATGACCTGTTCATTAACTTAAAAGTTAACTGAGGGCCTGGGATTTAGCTCAGTGGTATCGAGGCCACCTTGCAAGCACAAGGTCCTGAGTTTGATCTCCAGTACCACCAATAATAATAATAATAATAATAATAATAATAAAGTTAACTGATTGAGGACCTTAAATCTTATGAAGAATTTCTTCCCCTTAGCACCTGGAGTAGTATTTGATTAAATACCTACGGGAAGGTGTTGTGTATAATACAATATTGCGGCTGCTTCTTTTCTGACCTATAGCTCTAGACAGAGAATACTTCCCGTAGCTCACCCTGAAAGGAAACAAATTAGAATGGGAGTCCTGGGGACCCAGACAACTTGAGACATCAAAAAGCTGTTGCATCCATAGATTTCTTTTCCCCCATAAGCTAAATTTGAGCGAGGTGTCTATTGTTTGGGAGGAAAATGGATCTGACTCAGTCACAATGTGCTTATCGATTAGTCCACACACATATACAAATGGTACAGGTATTATTTCCAGTTTTAGAGGCGTGGGGCTGAGAAAGGTTAAGAAATTTGTTCAAAGACACAGAGAGCTTTGAACAAAGTCTGTCTTTCCACTGCCCATGCTACAATAAGTGAATCCCTTGGGCAGTTTGGAAGCTGACTTCAGCAATGTTATTTTTTTTCTGATAAAGAGGTCCAAAACTGATGTATTTTATTCAGCTGATAACAGAACAAGGCCAAGAAATAGATTCTATCTTCATGACCAGTGCTTGACTTGGATGTATTATTAGTTGGCTGATGTAATTAGGAGTTTGTGACTGTTTTTTAAAGATTATTATTTAAAGTTTTAACTTTTATTTGGAGGTCTCTTCCTACATGAAGTGGCTTAGATTTTAAACTCACCTACAAGCAGCAGTCACAGTCACAGTATCAAACACTCTAGAAGCCCCTTGTAACAGTGATCAAGGGAAAATAGGAAAGCACAAGTGAAAAATACCTGGAATAAAAGAAGAGCTGAGTGCTGCGACGCAGGCCTGTAACCTCACCACTCTGGGAAGCTGGGGCAGGAGGCTCACAAGTCCAAGCGGAGCCTGGGCAACTGAGCAATGTAGAGCGATCCTGCCTGAAAACTGAAAATACAAAAAGGATTGCGGATGTAGCTCAGTGTGAAGGCTCTGGGTTAAATCCTCAGTACTGGGGAGAAAAAGATATTACAGATTCAACAGACATTTTTTAAAAAAGTGTAAAGAGGACAGTAGGAAGAATGTTATTAACATAAATTCAACAACTCTGATAAAAGGGAAAAATTCCCAAATTCTTTGAGAATGGGCACAGTGGTCAAGACTTTCGGGATGAGCCAGGCGTCCTGGCACACACCTGTAATCCCAGCACTTGGGAGGCTGAGGCAGGAGGGTCACCACAAATTCGAGGCCAGCCTGGGCTACACAGAGAGACCTTGTCTCAAAAAACAAAAACAAAACAAAAAAAGACTTAAGACGACACTCGAGAGAGCTGAACCTCCTAACTGCCAAGTCCATTGGGCAGTTGGAGGGCTCTACTTCCTGTGTGGTGTTTACCACTGCTGACTGCATCCTCCTTAAAGTCTTCCTACTTTGGCTTCTACGAAACCCCGTGCTTCTCCACATAGGCCTTTTCCCTCTTCCTCCTTCCTTTCTGCTTCATAGCCAGTAGCTGTCCTTGCCCTTATTCGACATTTGCACACAGGGCTTAGCTGCCATGCGTACACTGATGGCCCCATTGCTGCAGCCCAAACTGCTGTGTTGAACTTCTGTCTAGACAATGAGCCACAAATTATTATTCCTTTATTCCACGAATGGCCCCTCCTGGGAGTTCTCAGACCCCTGGAACTCAGCATCTCCTCTTCGCCTGTTAACCATATCCAGATTTCATTTGGGAACTAACCCTGCCCCAACCAGCTCTGCCCAATCTCCTGACCACAGGCAACTGTGCTAATAAATCAAATGATTGTGTTAAAGCTGCTAACTTGGAGCTAATTCGTTGCATGCAATAGTAGTTTCTGGGATTTCTGCATCACTCAGCACCTGGATGCAGCCCAAATTCCTCCGGCCTTCGGCGACAGGCCTTGCTCACCTCAGCAGACCCAGCTCCTGGCCGCCCAGCCCTCGTCCCAGCCATACTGCAGTAGCTGGAATGGTCCCCGCCTTCCTAGGCTTCCATGCCTTGTGCGTGTGGTTGTTCTGCTGGACGTCAGAAAGACAACCAGGTATTTATCAAATTGCCGGGAAAGAGGGGATACACATCTATTTCCTTCCTTAAAATCCCCTTTCTCCAGGAATAATGATTGAGTGGCCCTAACATAGTCTGGGTACTTTGCAAAAGTGCATTCAGAGAATATGAGGGTCCGAGGATTTAGCTCAGTGGTTCTGCTTCCTGCCTCTTAAGCTCAGGGACCTGAGTTTGATCCCTGGTACCAAAAACAAAACAAAAAACAAAGAATATGGATTATTTTCTAGGTCGCTGAATAAAATAATTGTTATGTGCATGGGACCTGGAGCCAGATTGCCAGTCGTCAAATTCAAGCTTTATTCCTTAGTAATGGGTGACTTTGCATGGGTGACTTAACCTCTCCAGGCTTCAGTTTTTCCATCTGTAAAATGGGGTAATAAAAATACTTCACAGAGTTAAGAAAAGGATCACATGAGTTAAGGTATATAAGTATTTAGAATGGTCCCTGTTGGAGAATGCTTGGGTAGGTGTTTGTTCACAGCAAAGCAACTCTGCAAGTAGATTAGTCACTGTACACATCTCTCCGGTGTCACTTCCTTTGGGAGACCTCCCCCATGCCACCCCACACGCCATGCTCAGCAGGCGGCACTGTCTGCAAGCGTCAGTGCAGCTGCACCCTTCATCTCCTGGATTCTTGGAGGCGGGGCTGAATTTTATCCATCTTTCTCTTCCCCAGACCTGAGTCAAAGCAGGCCTTCAATAAATGTATTAAATGAAATCCTGCTTTGACTTTACAAGCCGTAATTTGAGCCCAGGAAAGGCTAAGCGAGGTCTACAGGTAGTAGTGGCGAACAGAACTCAAAACTTCTAGTTCGCCTCTTTGGACTCCTAGGCCTGAGCTAGTTACAGGTGAGCGTGTGCGTGTGTGACCACTCATGCCTGCTCATTCGCTTTTTATTCTTTTTTTTGGTACTGGGGATCGAACTCAGGACCTTGCGCTTGCAAGGCAGGCGCCGGAACCACTGAGCTAAATCCCCAGCCCTCATTTGCTTTTAAACTTATTCTATCAGGTTCTCATAAAATAATCCACGTTCTTTCAGTTCCCTTCTGAGCCCCCCAGCCGTTTCAGGGTTGATCAATTATTATTCCTGGAGAAAGGAATACTGAGGAGGAAGTAGACGTACACTCCTGCAGTTAGTCAGATGGATTGCTGAGTATCTGGACAACCCTGAAGACTGGAGTCCTGTCACGTCAGAGGCTGTTACCCTGACCCATCTGTTACTTTCCCAGGTGAGCAAATGAAGGCGGAGTCCCTGAGAAAACTGAAATCGCCTTCAACTTGGGCCTCAGGCTGGGGCTTGGGCCCCGCAAGTGCTCCGGCCAGCCACCGCCTGCGCCCCTGACCTGTCGGCCCTCACTCCCAGCACAGTTCGGGGCGCACTCCTTTGGGCCCCTGGCCCCTTGCTCCCGAGTGTGCGTGCGTGTGTGTGCGTGCTGTGGAGGAGACCCGGCCCGATGTGGGAACCGTTATCTCCTGCTTCCAGCTGTTACCGATCCCAGAACTGCTTTTTCTCTGTGACGTGAAACATCCACTCAGATCAGAGTGAAGCGAAGGCTTGCTAGGTAGCGGGTGCTGCCTGTCCCCTGTCCCATCTCCCTAGTGGGGCTCCACCCGAGCTTCCCGACGGCTCCGGGGTCCCGCGAGGGGAGGGCGAGGTGTGGCCCTCCCTCAGCGCCCGCCGACGCGCCTCCCCCGCTCTCCGGCCCTGGCCGGCTTCTCCCGGCGCCGGCGGCTTTGGGGGAGGGGGCGGGCCGGGCGGGGAGGGGCGCCGCGCGCTGTCACCGCGAGTCACGCTGCCCCCCGCCCTCCGCTGGGTGTGGAGCGCGCGGCGGAGGCCGGCGAGCCGGGCGCAGGAGCCTGGCTTCTCGGCGAGCTGCGCGGCAGCCGCAGCCCGAGCCGAGCCCGAGCCGAGCGCGGCCGCCCGCCCGCCGCCCGCCGCCCGCCCGCCATGGAGCCTTCGCACAAAGACGCCGAGCCCGCGGCGGCCGCCGACCCCCGGGGGGCGCCCCCGTCCAGCGGGGTGGTGGTGCAGGTCCGAGAGAAGAAGGGGCCCCTGCGCGCCGCCATCCCCTACATGCCCTTTCCCGTGGCCGTCATCTGCCTCTTCCTCAACACTTTCGTGCCCGGACTGGGTGAGCAGCGGGTCGCGACCCCGGCCGCCGCGGGGTGGCCGGGAGGGCGGGCTGGGCGCGATCGGGACCGCGCGCCCCTTCGGGCCGCCGCCCCAGCAGGTGGCAGAGCGCGCGGAGCGGCGCCCGGAGAGGGGCCGCGGGGGTCTGCGACCGCGGGCCGACGCCGGCCGGAGCAGCCCCAACTTTGCCCGGACGGCTCCCGTCTGGGCGCCCGAGAGCAGAGCCGCCCCTTCTCTCCGACGCGCGCACCTCCACGCGCGAGCCTCTCCGCGGCGCCCTCCGTGGAGCCCTCGGGACCCAAGGGGCTGTGGGCTGCGGGGAGATGCCCGGCCCTGGGCGTCTGAGGAGTCGGCTGCGCCGGGGCAGGGGTGCCGGGCTCAGCAGCACCCTGGCACCCGCCGCGTGCACGAGGGCTCCTCGGCGTCTTCCCGCTCTTCCGGGTCCCCGCAGGGCGCCGAGGCACGGCCCTGGGATTGTACCGCCCTGGCCACAGGGGATCGTGAGAAAGCCAGAGCCCGCGGGCCTCCTGGGACACTCTGGCTGTCTGGAGGGGCCCCGCGGGCATCAGTCACCCACTTTTCAAGACACCCATCACACAGCCCGCGCCGAAGGGCAAGCGAGGGAGAGCGGGCGGTCCTCTCTGCTCTCCCTCCCTCCCTCCCCTTCTCTGCCCACTGCGAACTACTGGCTGATCTGGCGGGGCGGGGGCGCAGGGGCCCCCTCCCCGGAGAGCTGCAGAAGCTGGCACCTCTGGGCGCTCTCCAGAGACCCCCTCTCCCGCGCGCCTTTGCTCGGGCTCTCAGGAGCAGGGGTCAGCTGCAAGCGCGTTTCTGATCTCCTTTGGCCTTTCTCACGGCCTTCTCTTAGACAGGAAGGGGCTCTGTGTGCTGTGATCTGATCGCCCAGTCCACGCCCGCCCACCAGGCCCCGTTAGCTTCCCAGGCGTTTACTCGTCTTCCACCCAGGGGTCTGCGGTGTGAGGGAGCCTGTCTGTCCAAGCAGAAAGTTAGGTGGCCTTTAGTGGGGCTTCCCCTTCAGAGATGCCTGCAGCGGCACGCCAGCCTGCACCCCGTTGGTGTCCCTGCACTTTAGACCCTGCCGGGAGGCAGCTAATGTTAAGCTAGTTGTGTCAGAAATTTCCACCTGCTGGAGTAGAGACTGCCTTTCCAGCTCTCAGAGGACGTGAACCGCAAGCTGGGAGGCATTTTGACTCCACTGTGTGTTTTTTATGCAGTGAAGTAAGTGCCGCCCTGTAGGCTTTCGAGGAAGCAGGTGCGGGGTGCCGCGTGGGAGAGGCTGCGCTGAGCCGCTGCTGGGGAGGGGCCGGGCCTGCAGGAGGCCAGTCGGAGACAGCAGCTGCCACCTTCCGCCTGTGCCCTCCGGGGCGCTGACCAGTACCTCTTCTCCCCTCAGTCCTGCTGCAGGGACAGCGTGCACTGGCTCACCCCTGACACCCTTCCCGAAGGTCTAGCTTTCCCCTCACACTTCCCTTTGTAAGAGCAGAATCCTATGGGATTTTATTTTTTAGTTAGTTAGTTTTCTTGCTACTAAGGATCGAACTCAGACCTTACACTTGTCAGGCAGGCAGGGTGCCACTGAGCTAAATCCCCTACCCGGGATTTTATTTTTTTAAAAAGACAAAACTTTCCAAGAAACCAGGAGGAAGTAAAGGGGAAATAAGCAAACTACAAAAGCAATAAAACAGGTGAGCCGTGGGTGTACAGACTTCTGAATTTTCAGTAACTTAAGCCAGGCTTTTCCCCTCCGTTTTGTGTTGTTTGTTACCATGCAGTTTTCTGAGTGCATAGGTCTGGCTCCTGCCTACATGGAACGAGGACTACTTGACCTTTGGTGGTGTCTCTCCTCTTTCAGTCAGAGACACTTGTCCCCTGGTTCAGGGAGGATTCGAGGTGACTGGTTTCAGGCGCTGGCGCTTAGGGAGTTTCCCAAGCTGGTGGGTGTTCTGCCCTTTGCTCTTGTGTAGACTGGGGACTGGCCCTCTCTCGGTGGGGCATAGCTTCTGAGTACTGCTAATCTCTCTGCTCCCCTCTTCACCACAATGGAGACCATGAAAACTGTGTGGATACTCTTGTTTGTTGGTTGATTGGTGCCACCACTTCCTCACTCCTCCCCGGAGTGGCTTGAAGGGCCACAGCCCTTGGGAGTCCTCCCCTGGCACAGATGCCCTTCTCCGAAGCTTCAAATCCGTTCACTCATCCATCCACCACACGCCAGGCACTGGGGATGTGAGGACGAATAGATCAGTCAAGAGGCAATAGACTGTTGAGGAAAATTGGTGCAAACTTTGAATGCACTGAGTACTATGACGGTGAGGGTGGCAGGAACAGCCCGTGTTTTAGCAGCAATTAATTTTTCCTGGAGGATGGAAGGGGTATCCAGAGCATGCCTCCCAGGGGGCGTTTGGCCAGTTAGGCCCTGCTGAGAAAACCCACCATTGGGCCCCAAGCACTTGCCAGTGCTTGCCAGCGCTACACACCCACTCTCTGGAAACTGCTCAGGTTCCTGAATTGAAGATTTCTTCTTTTTCTTCTGGAAACTTCCTTCTGTGCAAGTCCTCTTCTTATTTGCAGGTTGGACAAGAGAATAAGCATTGGGCTGAATGAAGGCTCATTTTTTTTCTCTGATGTAGGTGTCTCAGGTTCATCCAGTCTGTGCAACTGCCTTGGAGAAGCCCTGTCCTCAAAATTCCCTAGCTTCTTCTCCATCTGAGCAGCAGTGCTGTCAGGATAATGCTCAAAGTCTAAGAGAAATATTTCCCACCCCGGGAGTGCCAGAGAAGGAGAGGTGATTTATGTCACTCGAATCCTCGTTGAAACATTGAAGGATGTTTTTTAAAAGTGGACAGTGGTAAGGAGAGTCACCTCAGCCCTATTCAGCAAAACTCTACTGATAAAGATCACTACCAGTAGCACCATGTTCCAACATGAAGGGCCTTTATGAGCATACACCATTATTCATGTATACAGTCAAAGTTCATTGTTATGTCCTAAGATGGTCAGAAAGTTTGCCTGTTGGTGAAGGTATAATTTTGCTTCCATAATTAAAAATTATACCTATCATGATTTGGCAAAACAAAAATGTTCATTACTCAGATAGTGGCAGGCAAAATTGGAGGGGGGAGGGCTCCCACTGACCATTAACCACTCCATGAGACTCATGCCGCACATTAATCTACTGCCAAAAACCACATACACATTTCATCTACCCCTAATCCACTGCCTACTCTTTGTCATCACTAAAGTTTTACTTCCCAAGTAAGAGCACCACTGCCTGGCTCCGCTTCTCTCTTTCCTTTAGGCCCAAGGCTCAAACTGATGGTTAATCATGCCCTACCTTCTGACATCTTTTGTATTATTGGCTTTTTGTTACCATTTTGAGAATTTACTGTCTATCTAAAAAGATTGTCAGTTCCTTGAGAGCAGCAATTATTTTAAGTTTCTCCTTGAAATAGTATATTATAAATAAATACATAATAATAGAATTTTACTCCTGGAGTAGACATTAGAAATCAGCTGGCCCAATGCTATATGTATGTGGATATATATGGCCAGATCACATGAGGACCGAGGGATTTTATTTTCTAGTCAATCTTTTTAAGAAAGATACTTGAAGATGCATTTCAGCATAGTAAGGGAGTAAACAAGAAAGAAAATGAGGTCCAAGAAACAATGGATCCTACTTTGGGCAGCTGTGAAGAGCAACCCCAGGATGAAGTTGTCCTGCAGGCCTGCAGGGCAGTCAGTCTTCATTACAGTGGGAGGACAGAGGGCTCCAGGGAAGCAGTCTCCGAAGGTGACATGAGACAAAGACAGTACACACAGTGGGAAGTATTACTGGAACACCACAAAAAGTTAAGGTTGTAATGAAAGCAAGCAAGCAAGCAAGAAAAACAGAAGGCAGTTAGTAAGTACAGTAAAGACAAAAAGCCATGGAAGAGCATTAGGAACTAAAAGTGAAGTAGCCTGTCCCCTGTAATCAGGTCAGCAAGGAAGAAGGAGAAGGGGGAGAGGGAGGGGGAGGAGAGGACAGGGCAAGAAGAAGAGGAGGGGAAGGAGAAAGAGGAGGAGGAGAAGAGGAAGAAGAGCAGGAAGAGGAAGAAGGAGAAGAAGATTCTAAATAATAATGCATGAGAAGAAATTGGGAGACTATTAAGGATGTGACATACAAGGCATATATTTCTTTTATCAACAAGAAAAAAGAAAGGTAAAAGAAACCTCAGGAAAGCCAAAAACTTTTTCATGAGAGGCATAGCTATGCAGCGATCCAAAGTGTGGCCTGGTTTGGAGCTGCGGAGTTTATGTGGAGGAATATAAGGACTCTTTTAGCACATGGAATCTGTGTCATTGGAACAGTAGTGCGGGCGCTCTGGCTCTGCAGGGATGAGTATGTGCTTAGTCACACTGATGGAAATGCTGCTAGGTGGTTTTCAACTTCTGAAAACTAACAACAAAGACCTGAAGACTCCTTGAGAATAGCTAATAGAGTGTGGGAATGTTTTCTACATTGACAATATAAAATGGAAAACACAGCTTGTATAAGTTGGAGAATAGAAGAGGAGAGACGTGGAATTGTGAGAGATTAAATTATTGTTCCCAGTTATTCACATCCTCCCTGAAAGAAGACTGTGTGTTCTTGCCTGATGCCATGACTGGCCTGCCTCTGGTGGGAGGAGAATACTTCTTCCCCTGCCCATCAATCCTGGGCTTAGCATGTTACTTGCTTTGGCCAACTGAATATGAGTGCAAGTGACAGGCCATTCCAAACAGACACTGTAAGAGGCCCTGTAAGGTTCTGCTACTGCTCTTCACTCCCACGAGAACAGTAGGTCTCAGATTGTTCAGGAGCAGGGTATTTTGTATCATGTAAAGGAGAAGTAAGGTTGCATTGTCGTTCCACCATTATGTCCCAAAGCTGAGTGACACATAGAGGATAGGGTAGAGGCACGACTATCCTCATCATGTAAAGTGAGAGTCGAGAGA